CTTACGCGACCCTGCGATGAGAACCTGACTATTGCCGACTCCCACTTGCAAGATCACTCGATCTTACCCGACGATCTTTTGAAACGCGTCCGTGGTTTGTGCGTAAACAACGTATGGAACTCGAAAACTTATTTGATATTTTATGCGCCGAACACTTCTCGAGCCCCACATATCTCTGGAGAACATTCTACTGAAGGAGTGGACCCGTCTGTTTCACTGCGGATCGTTTTTAAAGTATGGCGCATGCTCAAAGGCCAAAAGACTTTGATCTGCTCAAAAGAGACATGTTTTCGCTACGATCCATTCTTCGAGCAAATACACGCATACAGGCAAGGCGACACGGAGCAATTCTTCGACTTTTCCTGGTACACAATGAACGGCAAGGCCCTGACCATTTCCGCGAACGATGCTGCATCATTCGACTTCGACAACGTGTTATTCGATATTTGCTCGGTGCATTTCCTCGCCCCTCTTGTCCGAGCTCTTGCGGTTATGATCCAACAGCGCGGATGCAATTTCGTTAGTTTCATCGCAGAAAATAATCCTGACGATTCAAGGAAGGGTATATCCTCGTCAGATTTCTCAATTCATCCCGAACATTTGGAAATCGGACTAAAACACGCGGTGGACATATACGTCATTGGAAGTGGGATCAGCAATCTTGGGAATCTGCGACACTTGGATACCTCTCCGGCGATGGAATCGTGTCAGCTTACTTTTAGGATCCCTCGCATGGGCTACATACCTCAGGAGGTAGCTCCGTTCTACTGCTTCTCGCCCACCTTCTGGATATTTGTAGTAGTGACGCTCTTCATCTTCGCGCTGATCCATTACGCCCTTGTGGTTGCAAGCAAAGACATTTTCATTAAGAAGGAAACGTGGGACCAAAATTTATTCCCAACCGCCATGACTATCTACAGATATACCCTGGGGATCAGTCAGCCAAGGTTGATCATGGTTGAGTTCGTGATCGGAAAGATTGTTTTCCTCGTTATTGTATTCTCGATGATGATTCTGATCACTCTGTTCCAGAGTGGAATGTTCAGATTATTAAGTTCTCAAGTTCGCTATAGAGATATGGACACGCTCGAGGAGATTCAAGAATCCAACTTGGTCCTGCAATCTAGTGATATAGAAATCGACGCCCAGTTCCTCGGCAATGAGCCGGAATTCGGCTGGATTATGGAAAAAATTAACGACGGTTACAATTTCAGATGCGCCCGCAGTGAATTCAGTGGTCACCTCCATTCAGGTATTCGATATTCGTTATTGAACGAAACAATGATTGATACCGATGAGGCGAGACTGTTCAGGAGAGAAGTTGACACCATGTTAAAATCCAGTGCGTTTTTCACCAGAACGAACACCAAGTATACCCAATTGAGGGACCTGGTATACTCGGATCGATTGACGGGGAGGGAATACGAATTTCACATTGCCCGAGAGCGCCTCTTGAGCTACCCAGCCATGTATTTCATGCCACGGAATGGGTTCTATTGTGATGTTGTGAATGATTTACTATTTAGAATGATTGAAAGTGGTCAAGCTAACAACTTTGCAGAAGTGTGGGGTTGGGATTTAAAAATATATGAGGATAAGAAAAATGACGATGTGGTCAGACCTTTTACTCTGACTGACCTGAGGCTTGCATTTGTCTTTCTGGTCGTTGGATGGGTTTTGAGTGGTTTTTGTTTTATTTTAGAACTACTGTTGACGTATTAAGCGCAAATAACCTTGCTTTCGTACTTGTTGCAAACATTAAACGATACTTTTAATAATTGGACGTATTTATGCTAAAAGGAACTATGTTACACGCAATCGCTAGTTTTTTTAGCATAAATGTGTCCAGATATAAGTCATAATCCAATTGTAGCACCGCCGCACAGTATGGATCGAGTCAATAGGAGAGATCGGGACAAATTTAGAGACTGTAAAAGCTTTTAACTCCGTTTATACAAAATTTAGATGTTCTAAGAGTGGGTGCATTGGTTTCCTCGTGAAATTTTCTTCCCGAGGCACCCCTCAAAATTTAAAATGTGACGAAATAAATATCAAAATTTGCACTTTTAGTCAATAATTTTATGTTCAACCTCTCTGATTGACTTGATCCACTGTATGACGGCTTCCCGGAATTGTACTCAACAAACTTGTCGCAACAAACCACACAAAATTTCCAGAATAATTGCACTTTACAAAATTTTAGCTTATTGGACGACATATTTGGATAGAATATATGTAAAAATCTGCTCAATTTTGACTGATTTTAGAAAATCGCCATTCAAAGGATAGTATTTGTTTGATATTACCCTTCGGAAATATTTTGATCCAATAAGCAGAGTTTGACAAAAAAGAATTTAATGGGGGTTAAAGTTTGGATTATACCTTTCTTTCTCTTACGTTTGTAAAAAAAAAGATAATGATAGTATTTATAAAACTAAGCATTTTTTTAAAAAAAAATTAGGAACATTTATTTTGCTATAATGACTGTGCAAGTTGTCTTTGTAACAATTTACGTTAAGTTAGAGGCACAAAATATCACAAGTTACCTTATTACCGGTATTCATATGGAATATGCCGTTTCACAAGGCACAATTAGTATTCATAAGTGTAATTTTGTTGCCCCTCCCCCTCCTCAAATTAGTTAGTCGATTCCGTTGTGAACCTCGAATTAAAGTTTAAACATGACTGTAAATGTTTTCAAGATTAATCCTCCAAAATAACTAGACTTAACACTATTCTATACGGGGAAGGTTTGTAAAAAGTACTTCACAATTCGCCCGAAACTGGCATTTTGAGTCATAATATAGTGCAGTTTTAGGCTAATAACAATTATATTTTCAGAATTAGCTGAAATAATAAAATAATTTCACAAAAACAACAATTTCATCTGCTATGTTTTCAAATCATGGTGCTTGGAATGGAACTCACAAACTAATTATTGTCTCCTGTACGCTTAAACTGTAACTATACGTTACAGCGGGCTGATTACTGATATTGATAGACAAAAATATAGACAAAGAATACACAGAGAAAATGGGGCTATTAGGAGAGGTGAGTGGTTGCAACAAACTAAGAAGGTGTGTAATAGACTAATTAACGGCAATCCATGAGATACCTTCCAGTTCATCATTTGGACCGCGGTTAGCAGAAAGAAACCAAGCAAAATCAGTTATTGCCAAATTTAACTGAGCAATTTAATTTTTTCAAGAGATTATTTGTGCTGATCCCTTTGAAAATGGTAAGGGATTTGCTTTGCAGTATGCAGAAAATTCACTGAAATTTTCACAAAATTCCGCAAAACCGTTTTTATATGAAAAATTATTTTTAACCTTGCACGAACGACTAGGGCATGGTTCTGTTTGTCAGGCCATCCTGTATCGAACACAATAAGCTATAATTATTAAAAATTTAAAAATTACTAAAAATAAAGGACTCGTCAAATCAATAAAAATAGCATAATATAATCTTCAATAATCCTCAGGAGAAGAGAGCCAGTTTTGTGCCCATCTCTTAGGCGGTCGTCCAGATAATCTTTTCCCTAAGGATTGTCCGGTCATACAAATTTTTGCTAGTCTCTTTTCACTCATTCGGTGTGCGTGCTCCGACCACACCCTTCTCTTCACGCTGGTCCACTTGGATACATCTTGCACCCCAAGAGCATCCCTGATAGACTCGCTGGTCTGCCGATCCCAAAGTGTGAAACCCCCTATCTTTCTTAGAACTTTCATCTCAATGGTGCGAAATTGTATAATGTACATATATTGTATTATGTATGTAATTCATTGTATAATTGTGTAATTTTATAATTGTTAACTATGAAAAATCAAACTGCCCAATTAAATTTGGCAAAAGCTGATGTGGCTTGCTTACTATCTCCTTAACGCAGTCCATATCCCCCTTAGTCTTTCACAACCGACATCTCGACCAAAAAGTTCACTTCATTTTTCCTTGGTCCATTTTCTCTATAGATTTGTCTATCGCTTTCAATAATCAGCTCGCAGCAAGTTGCTCAACTTTTTTGGTCTAAAAACGGTCACGCCGAGTTTGACTGGTTTCTCCGCGGGATGCAATGGCGGTTATGGACAGTGGCGTGGAGTAAATGATTGATAATTGATATTTCCCCATTTATAACTATGGAAAAGAATCGATTATAAAGGTGTTAGCTGCAAACACTTTGTTCATCGATCCTATTCCGTAGATTTAAATGGCAGATCAATCGATATATCGCAAAGCACGCCACGCGGCTGGTTATCGAGTTCGCGTGATTGCGAAGTTCCGGCTGCGACTGTTACTCGCATATTAGCGCGGTATTCAATTAAAAAGTGGCGATCAATTTAAGGTTAATAATCGAGTCAGTAGGAGCAAACTTGGACTCTGTCGTTCGCTATCAACGGACGTTTATCAGCCATGGCGGAAACGCTCAGGCAGAAAGGGAAGGACGAAATAGTGGGAACAAGAGGGAAACAGTTGCCTACTGGCACGATGCCAAGTTTTAAAAACTGGAGATATATGTAGAAATGAGTATGAAACATATCGAATACACATTAAAAATTATAAAAATATTGCGAAATGAGCTCTTTAAGCAATCCCATATAAGGCAATGAAACATGTTCGCGCAAATTCTCAAGTGAACCGCTTATTTTCCAAATCTCGTACGCGACAAAAGTGCGAATGCTGGAGAAAAGAAGAAAAACCGTTTTATTCGCTTTGTTGACAATCTTCGAATTCCAAAAAATGCATGTTCTTCTAAAAGGCTATTTTGAAATCAGACATGATTGATTATACCAGAAAAAACAAAGAAAAAACAACCCCTTCACCACCAAAATAGAGATTACCACTCACGTGATTTGGAAAATAATCGGTACAATTTGTGTTAATATATAATCTGAGATGATCGAAATACGATTTTTATGACTAGCGCAACTTACTAGTTTAACGTCTTTAATCAAGCTTCCAGAATATTTTTACAAAGTTGATCTCTTGCCGAAAAATATGATTAAACTGTAATATGTGGCAAAAATGTATTGCAAGAGGCGAGAGAATCAGTTAATCAGTTGCTCAGTCGTTTGTTTGTTTTTAATTGACGGAGACATGTTTCATTTGCGGTTCGGTGTGCTCTCGTGTTTAGTGCTCGTCGTTTTGACCGGCGATTCAGATGCCTTCAAAATCAAAACGGTGAAAACAAAATGTCCAGCGGTTCGATCCCTACGCAATTTCAATCTCGAGGAGGTTAGTAAATTTCACTTTCTTATCTTTTTCTGAACAAAACAACCAACAGAAAATGTAGTTTAAATAGACCGAGTTCACCAGAAAGGAGCCAACCCACATTTTAGAAAAAATCGAGTTAAGAATGTTTTTGAGTTCCACTCTCTTATCTTTTTCTGCACAAAACAATAGCCCAAATAAAATGTAGTTCAAATGGACCGAGTTTATCAGGAAGGAACCATCCCACATTTTCGAAAACATCAGGATGAGAATGATTTTGAGTTTCAGTAGCCGTATATTTTCTCCTGCCAAAAACTGAAAGTCGAAAAAAAAGGAATTAGTTTGTGATGAGAGGGGTTAAATTCCATTTTCTGCATTTAGCCGTGTGCAGGGATAAAACTTCAAACCTCTTTTTCTCAGTTTCAACCTGATGTGGGTTGGTTTCTGTCTGGTAAACTCGGTCCATATCACGCTGAATGGGCCACAAGACAATAGTGCGGGGTTTTGCACTGCAAGATTCGACGTTTTCGGATGATAGAACGTAACTAAATGTCACCGTTGCCAAATTTAACTCAACATTTGTATTTCTACTCGGAAACAATCGGACAATTTTCATTGAAAAGATCGCAGGTTTGTTCTTGGATTAAAGTGAAAAATAGGTCAATTTTTGTTGAGAATTGCGTTATTATTTTTGTATTAGAAAAACGAAGTTGTAAGGGAAGTTCGCATCCGTGGATTGTAGATAGTACCTTTGTTTCGGAAAAAGAAAAACATAATATAATCTGAAATTCGCTGAAACCAGCGCTCGCCCTAAAAAAACTTTTTTGGGGGGTCAAAAAAAGTGGGGAAAGAAGCGCTCAAGTATGAGTAATCAATAGACAAAGTTTGAAGAAATTCGAGACGGGCCCGAAAAAAGCCGTTTTTGCATCAAGTTTTTTAACTCAACATTTTGATTTCTACTCAGAAACAATCGGACAATTTTCATTGAAGAGATCGCATGTTTGTTCTTGGATGAAAGTGAAAAGTGCGTTAATTTTTTGTCGGAAATTGCGCTATTATTTTTGTAGCAGAAAAACAAAGGTGTAAGGACATTTTGCAACCGTGGAATGTAGATGGTACCTTTGTCTGGGGAAAAACAACATAATATAAACCGAAATTCACTGAGACTCAATTAACAAGTCACATTAAGTTTGAACGGAGAAAAGGAGGTGCACAGTTTTAGCCATGGACGGATGTATCTGGGATCATGGTTTGCAGTTTGATTGCATGCTCAGATAAAACAAGTTCTTGTGATCGGGAATAAGTGCGTAATGATAAAAATATTAATTGGATGTATCGATGGCTAAAGTGCGGAACTGCGTATCTCTGTTTGCGACATTGCAGACTTTCCGTCATACTTCATGTTTTCTGTTGAAAACTAGGTAACGGGATTCCTTAAAAACTCCCTTGATTTTTCTCCGACGTTACCGGAATATTCCGCATAAATTTCAAGGAATGAAGTTGGGTTGTTTTTCTCAAAATAGGGACAGACATTGTAAAGTAGATACGTGGTTTTGCACTTTGGCCATCGATGTATATAAAACCAGAATCAGCTTAAATGCATTTTACGTTACTTACCGCAAAATCCAAAATGAAATCTTGTACCGTTCCTAAAAATGTCAAAGCTCTTACTTCTCTCGGTAACTGGAAAATATAAAATGCTGTCCCCGATGAATTACAAAAAAATAGTTGAAATATGGATAAAAGGGTTGGGGATTATCCCATAAAATTGTGGAACTACCCCAATTTGTTGGATGATAATATGGACGTTTCAAATTAGTTTTGGTAGTATTACAAGTCGAATTGCGGTAGTGCTGTTAAATTTGTGTTATCTCGTATTTTTCAGGTTGAAAATGGAATTGTTATTATTCTGAAACGTTCAGAGTTTTTTGTTTAGCTTTTGTTGTTCTTTGAAGACTTTTCCTCAAATTATGTTGTAATTTTATTATGTGAATTTTCGCTGATTAAGTTTCCCCCCCCCATTTTGTTTCCCAGGTTTTCCCTTGTTTTCCTCCTGTTACCGCATTGTCTCGGACCGCTTCGCACGAATTTATATCTATGTTGTTAATAACGATTTCGATTTCAGTTGGCAGGATACTGGTACGTGATCGACTATTACGCCATGTCGGAGGAAGAGTTATCATTCCGGTGCATGCAAGCCGAGTTCACGGTTTCACCGCCTCCAGATTGGACCGTGAGCATGTACTTCACTTACAGCTACAAAGACGACCCGGAGAAAGAGGTGCTCTTTGGCAACATCACCTGGCGGATCCCTGACAGAAAGCAGTTGGCACACTGGATACATGCCGAGGACATATGTAAGTTATTCTTTATCGTCTATTCAGTGGGTCACTCACGCGTCTGAAAGTATTGTGTTTTGATGGTTCCACCTTCCAAACAAATAAAGGAGTGTAAAAACCATTTCCAGGCACAGAACTTAAATAGCACAATGTACCAATGGACAAGGTACAAATTTAAACGTCCTGACACACGTTGCTTCGTCAGAATTTCACGCATAGAAGACGAGTCTTATATTGAAAATTACTGAAATCAACTCGACTAGGAGAGAAATGATGACGAGGACTTAAGATGAAAAGGAGAAGCCCTCGGCGCGGCGGTCGGCATGTAACACATATTAGCGCCTACATTCCTAAAAGACTGCACGAATACTTCATGCATTGCATCAAACACAGTGCGGTCACTGCGGTCAGCGTGAAACGGATAGCACCTACAAGAATGCATGAATACTTCACGCATTGCGCCAAACACAGTGCCGTCAGCGTGAAACGCATAGCGCCAACAATACTGCGTAAATACTTCACGCATTGCGTCAAACACAGTGCGTTCAGCAGCGGTCGTCGGCGTGAAACTCATAGCGCCCACAAAACTGTCAGAATACTTCACGCATTGCTCGAAACACGGTGCGGTCTGCGCGGCGCGGCGGCGGAACATAAAATCATTAAACCACATTTATGTTTGTTCTTTCACAATTTTTTCGTTCATTTCATATGAATGGAAGGCCTTGTCCACGCAGAAAAAGGTTTAGGAAACTTAACGATCGCGCAAAGTTCGGTGAATTTTTTCCGGCTTTCCCAAAAAATGTTTCCAACGCGAGTAAACGGGTCTTATCCACCCCGCCCCGCAGGCACGTTCACTTGATGGTTTTTATTGATGCTTCAAAACGAATAAAAAGGGGGCGGCAAAATACAGGCGGCCCACAGGTGGCAAGTACGTAAATCCGGCCCTGTCAGTTACCCCGATCATTTTTAGGAACATAGGCAGGCACGCGTGGCGTTTGAGCGTCGCAGAACGCCAGAATGCAATGTAGCAGCTACTTGCATGTATGTAGAAACCAAGAATACCCTCGTGGTCAATTCTCAAAGTCGTTTTATCATAAACTTAAAATTTACGCAATTTCAGACACCTGTAAATGGAGATTTTGCATATGTGAGGAATTTGCGATTTGACCATTGATTCTTATGTACAAGTTCGCGAGAAACACGATGGTGCCAATGGTTTTCTCTCAAATCATCTCCCAAGCTCAAAAAAAGCTCTCAAGTTGAGGCCAAAATGGAGGGGATATCCCACGCTATCCTTGAGAGTCCACCTCTACATCAAGACAAACTCTCCATGCAAAAATAGGGAGCAAATACATTGATAGGGCTGCCGTGTTTTCAGTTTTGGAGTCCCCAAATAAAGTGGCAGCCCTGTAAATGTATTTGCTCCCTGTCTTTGCATGGAAAGTTCGTCTTGATGTAGAGGCGGACTCTCAGGATAGCGTGGGATATCCCCTCCATTTTGGCCTCAACTTGAGAGCTTTTTTTGAGCTTGGAAGTTGATTAAGAGAAAACCAGTGGCACCATCGTGTTTTTCGCAAACTTTCACATAAGAATCCATAGTCAAATTGCATATTCCTCACACATGCTACATCTCCATTCTCAGAGTAGTTTCATCATAAACTTACAATTTACGCAATTTCTGACACCTGTGAATGATCCATTGTTTGTTATCAGACGAAGGCGTATACAACACTTACGTTCTGGACTCGGACTACAAGTCCTGGACGCTACTGCTTCACTGCGCCGAGAAAACCGGGAGCCCGCGCTACCTGTCCAGCTTCATCCTGAGCAAGGAGCCGCAGCTCCCGGAAAACGTCATCAACTTCCTGCGGGATAAGCTGCCCCGCTACGACGTGGACCTCGAGTACATGTTCCACATGGAGCAGACCCACTGCGCTAACCCGGATCGCGTCCTGCACTACGGGTCCGGGCTCACGAATAGTGTCCAGAAAAGTGCGCGTAGACACCCGCTCCAAAGGACCCATGAGTGAACTGGTGTGAAGGAGGATGAGCTGCCCTAAAAATAAGGGTGTTCGGAAGTTATTCTGCACTCGAAGAGAAGGACGCGAGAGAGGTCAGTGGAATAAGATTACAGTGTAATTCATAAAACAAATTCAAAATATTTAAAAAAAAAGAACTCACGACGATATTTTAAGTACACTGAAAAAAACACATTGTATCTAGAGTCCAGAAAACAGTTTTATTCATAATCCACTGATGATGACATTAATGTCATGTTGAAACGTCTGGTACGCATGTTCCATCTTAACCGTAATAAAAGGTTGAGAATCTGACACTTCCTCCCTGATTTCATTGCCATCATGGTATAGAATTTAGATAATAGCTCTTAAAATTTTACATGTGTTTTGTCATTTTCCCACGTACTCTTGTTAGTTACAACCATACACTGGAAAAAAAAAACCACATTGCATCTAGAGTCGAGACTCTTCAAACACTGACAAGAAAAAATACTCTTGATTCAATCGAATTTTTGCTTGAATCAAAACAAAATCCGCTTAAATTAAGAGGCTTGGCTCTTGATTTAAGCAAGATTCTGATTGAATCAAGCGTACTTTTCTTTGTCGATGTTTTTAAGAGTCTGGACTCTAGATCCAGTGTTTTTTTTCCAGTGTAACGAGCGAACGCATTTTGGGCATGCGGCCTATTAGCGGTGCAACTCATGCTAATCAACTAAAAAATCGTCGCAAGTGAGTTTTTTTTTAAAAAAAATCAAATTTTATTTATGATTAACTTAACTCGTGCGGAAATACCGCTCCCTCTTATATGAATACAAAGTACCTCAAGTTCATCTTGAACCTGTTCAACTCGTCCGTTTCCTCTCTGGGTAAATGAAGTAATAAAATAATGCATTTTTAATGTTTTCAGATGATTTTGAGTTTCCAAATTCTTATCGGCGGTCGATCATATTTTTACTGTAACTGAATTCGAAAGGTCCCGGAAATACATCGATGGAAAATGACCGGAAATGCTGTCTTGAAGTATTGGTGATCAGCTCCGTTTTTTCAAAATCATGACGTTTTCGAGGTGATTTTTTTTTTCAAAAACACCCTTATAATGCCTATAATAACTTTCAGAAAAAGTTTTATGTCACTATACTTAACTAAACAGCCGTTAATGTGTTGAAGATTTGGCGATTGCCATTTGTAAAAGATCGAATAAAGACCCTAAATGTCGAAGAATTCTTTGAATTTATTTTAAATTGATTTAATTTATTTTTTTTTTCGCTCTTCTCCATCGTTGTTCTTTTAACGGGGAAAAATCACTGCAGTCTTTCATCACCATGTAACGCCGTGCTGGTCTCTTTTGATTTTAATTTATTTTTATTTTTATACTTTTTTAGCGGTTGATAATGGTGTCGTGAGACACCGACACGTCCCGTGTATTTTTATGTATTTTAGCCTTGTTTCCACTGTTCCCTTGTTTTGATTTTACTATTTCCGTTTTGGGCTGCCTATGTACCTTTTTCTTTGTTGTAAGGGGAATAGATATTCAAAGGCAGAATCCGACATTCAACTGCGGGTTTTCGTATACTGAACCGATGCTAGAACTCCTTAAACAGAGGCGAGACGCAACCCATGTGGAGGAGTAGGAGAAAATGTATACCTCTCGATTTGAAGGCGTTTTAACGATGTTAAGATATCGTTAGAGTCACCCGTTTGCGTCGTGCTCCCAATTTAACAGTCCACTGTAATATACCGAGTGTATTTTAGGGGGGAATAGGCGACAAATTGCGACATGCTAAAATACACATATAAAATTCACACACACACACACCCTCACATATATATATATATATATATATATATATATATATATATATATATATACACATTATTATATTCATTGCTTCGAAAAAATGCAGTTTAGACTAAAAATAAGTACATTCTATTCCCCGAAACTTGAAATAAAAAATTAAAGATGTTTTTCTTTCACATGTTTGCAATTAAATCCATGTTGATGAAAGGTAAAACGTTACATAAAGGGGATCCTTATTGAACAAATGAACATTATCTTTTAAGAGGAATTGCCTCAGTCTGACAGATTCCACGCACGATATTCTCGCACGACTCCTGAGGTATTTTATCAGAATACATTAGGAATTAGAGAACGAAGAATCAAAAGAAGAAGAAAAAAAGTGACGGATAGCAAGGAACAAGGAAGACCTAGGGAAAAAGGAGATGAAGAAGAAGAGGAAGGAAAGAAAAGAAAAGAACAAGGAGGATGAAGAGGAAAAATAAGAAGCAGAATCAATGGAAGATAACAAGGAAAATAAATTATTCTTTGACCTTTTCTCCGTCGTTTTCTTCTACTTCTTCTTTCTCTTCCTCCTGTATTATTTCTATTCCTCTTAATCACCCTTCTCCTCTTCTTTCCCTTGTTTACACGGAGAAAAAACCTCGTGCGTGGGACCCGAAGTTTAGGTCATATGGATATCTGAAGCTTTCAGATTGAGCATCTGAACACTTTAGGTCTAGCTGTCGAGGTTCGGATCACACATCTGAAACTTCAGTTCTTACATCTGAAGTACTTCAGATGTGAGAACCGAAGTACTTCAGATGTAAGAACTGAGGTTTCAGATGTGTTGTCCGAACCTCAACAGCTAGACCTAAAATGTTCAGATGCTCAATCTGAAAACTTCAGAGATCCATATGACTTAACTTCGGGTACCACGCACAAAGTTTTTTCTCCGCGTATATTCCTCATATCCTTTGATTCCTCCTCTTTACTCCGTATCCTTACTTCTTTTCCCATCCTCTTCTCAATCCGTCCTTCTCTTCTCGTCCTCTCCTTCTTCTGATTTCCAATAGGCATGCATGTATATCCTTATTTGACACATGTTACGAGTTCCACGCCTTGAGTCTTTTAAACTTAGAGTTTAAAATAACCAAAGGCTCACAGCTTGGAATAAAACCTTAAGTGGTTTTTGCAAGTTCTGCGTTTTCCATGCGCACTCCGTGTCATCTTCATTGAGTTTGCTATCATTTTCTGATCTTGTATGCGTTTCTTTTTCGATATGTCACCGGTTTTGGATCGTAATATCACGCTAAGGTCCGTCATCCCACAATAATCGATGGAAACCATCCTTGATTGTTCGACTCGATTCAATTCACAAACCGAACTTTGTAGATGGATCTTTAATTCTACACCGATATCCTTTGAAGACACCCTCTTTGATAAATAACGATGCATGATATCAATTTATCGATAGAAATCATTCGATTATAAATCAATTGGTTCGGACACTTCATCGCGGGTCCATTCGTGAAGATCCCCTCCTGACTCACGAAAATCCACTCACTCCGGGGAGATGATACCGCCGTGTTATGAAGAAAAATCGTATGGACATTTCATTGTTGCCAAAGTTTTCCTAATAAAATATCACTATTCAAGTGGATTTTATAATATTTTATTTGGAAATTTTCGATTGCATTCGATTGAATCGTGGATAAGATTCAGTGGCGTGGCTTGCTTTGCGATATATCGATTGATCTGTCATTGAATCCTGTGCAAAAGGATCGATAAACAGGGTGTTCGCAACGAACACCTTAATAATAGATTCTTTACCATAGCTTCAAATGGAGAAATATCAATGATCGATTATTCGCGCCCCGCCGCTGATACGAGTCAATTTTGACTCTGCTTTCATTGATCCATAAATAACCCTAAAGTACCTTCAAAAAAAGTTGAATTTTTCGTAACTTTAGGAAAATCGAATGAACGTCTTGGTAATTTTTCATTCGGACATTTTTAAATTTAATTTTTTTCTTCAATTTTATTTGGTTTCTTTCTTTCTTTCTTTTTTTTGTTCCAGACTCCTTGAAAATAAGGGAAAATGCCTTTTTGCCCCTGCATTCCTAAATTTCTCGAATAAAAGAGATAGATCACAAATTTTCAAGTATCTCGTGCGTATTCTTTAAGTAGAAACTCGGCAACACCCGATTGCTCATGAGGCGTTTCTCTCGCGCACGACCGAAACCTTGCTACACCCGGGCCAGGCCCGGAGCTTTGGCCGGGCGAATTGCGGGCTCCCCGAATATTTTCCGGGTCCGGCACTCGGGGGCCCTGGGTCCTGGCCCCGCGCATGCGCAGAACCGAGATCCGTATCGGGATCGAAGATAGATGGAGCACTGTCACTCCACTTCGCGACCCCGTGCCTAGGGCTAGCCCACCCAGTAAGCCGCCGCCCTCGCCCCCCCTTGTCCCCCCCCCTTGGCCCCCTTCCCGTCCCCGACGAAATGATTGACCCTGCAACGCTGCCGTGCTGAGGAAAAACGACGTATGATTCCGTGCTGAGTAAAAACGCCGAATGAGCATTCGAATGTTGCCAAATTTCCTCTCGGAAAATAATGATTTTTGAAGAAAGCTATGATAATTTTTCTTGAAATTTTCAGACTTTTCCGGTCAAATTATGAATGATATCCTCTAAATATACGAGAGAGAAATATTAACCAATTGAGGAGCTTCCCGGAAAAAGGGCGCATAGCAAAAAATAACGTTTAAGGAAAATGCATTTTAAGTTTCCATCATTAATTTCTGGCCACTGACGGTACCTTTCGTCGCAGCTTGGACTCCCGGTTTCAAACGAAAGTCACTGTTAGTGGCCATAGAGTAATGATCAAAACGTCAAATGCATTTCTCTCAAACGCAATTTTTTGCTACGTGCCCTATTTCCGAGGAGCTCCTCAATTTTGTTTAATCCACGTGATTGGTTGAGGGAAATTTGGAAACGCCTGATGGCTTATAGAGTGTCCTTCCACAGCACGGCAAACTGTTACAACGACTCTGAGAAGAAAAGTTTGGCTGAGCGACAGGAATCTGAGTATGGTAATCACTAAAGCCTCTAGAGGTAGTAAAAAACGTAAATCAAATTACTATTCTCCGAAATTACGGTAAGTTCTACGTAATGTCTGGCCATGTGTACCTACAGTATAACTGTGTCAAAAACAGAGTAGGCTCATTATAGAATTTACCATATTTCTGGTAAAATTCGTCATACTTTTTTCCAGCAGATCTTTGAAAAACGTTGACGGTTTAGGTTTGAAAAGATTTGCCTAGATACTTTAGAAAACCCCTTTCGGATATTCTGCAAGTAAAATTGGCGTCTATTAACATTTACATGAACATTGCTGAAAACCACCTTTGATATTTCATTGGATCACCATTGAAACGTTCATTAGAACCTCTCGCGTTGCATCGTTACCTCCCCCAGTGTATTTTAGGAGAAACATTGTATGTTGTTGTAAACATTGCCTTAACTCGTATTATGAGGGATAATGGAGTTGGCTCACAATTAAAAAGATTATACGTGGGGAGAGCCTTGCGGCAGACGCCATCAGCATCGAGCAAACAAAGCCAGATCTACTTAGAGAACAAAATATTGATTTGATTGATTGTGCAATATTTTAAGAGTGATAACATGTGTTCTCTGGAAGGGAATTAAGAATTTGAAGGAAACTGAATACTTTGAAAAAAATCACCTGAAGCTTCATTTCAGTCAGTATTGAACTATATTTTGTGCTGTTTCGAGGTTTCAATTTCAGCTGATGGTATTGCCATGCATTCTCTATCGAAGCAAAGATTTAATTCATGGCTGCAACTAGACTTAACTTACAAATACAGGAGCGGACAAATTTTTCTAATAATCAACTCAAAATAAGGAAGATTTTATCGATTGAAATTCGAACCTTTTGAGTCAAAAGACGCTCCAGTTAAATTTTTAATATCATAGCTCTTCCCGCAAGAGGCAGGCGATAAAATAAATCATATTTTTCCTTATTTTTGTCCGTTTCGTTTAAGTTTTTGTTTGCCGGTTAAAAATGAAGTTGTGATGCTTCGAAACGTCTCGGTTTTACAAGTGTTCTCGTTTCACAAACTTAATCGAGTTTTGACATTCTTGAAAAATTGATGCGCCTGTGATACATGCTTACACACTTACTGTCGAATACGTCGTTGCTTGGCTGACATAAGGGCGTAACTACACTCAGAGGTGAGCTCTAGAAAGCATTGATTTATACGGAAGACAGGGTCCATCACCCCGTGTAAAACGTCCTCATTTCTGGAGGTCGACGATGTGATATCATATGATGGAGGAAAAAAAAGTCCGGAGAATGCTTATTCAAATTCAATCAGCTCGCTGTCTTGAGCTATTGGTGCAGGATTGATCGACGAAGGATTTGCTTTGAACTCCGTATCAAGAATAGATTTCTCTCACGAGACAGAGGGATTTAAAATAGACCCATTCAATCACTAGATTGTGGAAAATACAAATTGCCCAAAAACCGTCCATAGCGTATTGGGATATAAAGCGTAGGCACAAATAGATTCACCGGAACAGTGTCAGCCTTGATCCTATTAACTTGCCTATTAGATGATGATATTGTGTAGGATGCCAGAATTCGCTTTGCCAGCGTTTATCAAAATGGAGGGAATCAAAGTGAAATGAAATGTTGCGAAGTAGTGCAACATTATATCTACGATGAAAATGCATGCTGGAATACGTATCTCTCAGTTCGTGTCGTTCCAAGTTCCCTGTCGTGCTATATTTTTCAAATGAGACCATACCTATCAACATTTTTTTATAAACTAACTTGATTTTTCTTCCATGTGTGAAACGCGAGCTATGAAAATTCCAAGCAATTAAGTTGTTTTGTTATTCTTTGATACAACCTAATTGTAGGCGACATTTGGAAACGTCGCAAACGAACGCCAAAACGCGATTCACCGTCAATATTCTTTCAAAGAAAAAATGTTGGTGTTGAAACTTTTATGATAGCTTCTCCTTCTTCCTCCTCGTCCTCCTCGTGCTTCTGGTCCTCCTAGTCCTCCTAGTCCTCCTCGTCCTCCTCGTCCTCCTTGTCCTCCTCATTTTCCTCTGCCGTCTCCGCCGCCGCCTCCACCGCCTTCTCCGCCACCTCTTCTGCCCAATCCACCTCGACCGCCGCCTCCCCCGCCTCCTCCGCCGCCCCCGCCTCCTCCGCCTCCTCCGCCTCTTCTGCCATCTCAGCCTCCTTCGCCTCCTCCGCCACCTCCGCCGCCACCTCCGCCTCTTCCGCCTCCTCCACCTCTTCCGCCTCTACCACCTCTTTCGCCTCCTCCAGCTCTTCCGCCCCCTCCGCCGCCTCCGCCACCTCGGCGGAAGAGGCAGTGGAGGCGGAAGAGGCAGTGAAGGCGGAGGAGGCGGAGGAGGCGGCGGAGGTGGAGGAGGTGGAGGTGGCGGATTAGGTGGAGGAGGCGGAAGAGGTGGAAGAGGAGGAGGAGGCGGAGGAGGCGGCGGAGGTGGATTAGGAGGACGAGGAGCACGAGGAGCACGAGGAGCACGAGGAGCACGAGGAGCACGAGGAGGACACAAAGAACGAGGAGGACACAGAGGACGAGGAGGACGAGTAGGACTTGGAGGGCGAGGTGGATAAGGAGGACGAGGAGGACAAGGAGGACGGGAAGAAGGAGAAGCTATCATAAAAGTTTCAACGCAAACATTTACTCTTTGAAAGAATCTTGACGGTGAGATCCTCTTTACTACAATTCTAGCTCCTTTCTATTCGACTTCAGCCCTTACGATCCCCAGAACAGCAAAAATTGAAGATGCTCTTGTTAGGCCAATTGGCCGATTTACGATGTGTTTCGAGAAGATGAGTCATCATATCCTGACAATGATTCCCTCCTATAGGAATCGTGTACGGTTGATCCAGAGGGTGAATGGCTCCTTTGTTGCCATATCAGAGGTGGGTTTTAATCATAAACTAATTAATTGAAACCATGGATTGGCTCTTCATACGACCTCAAAAGCTTCAGGCTAATGAGAAATGTTCACTTTATGGTTTCAACTCTAAGCTCCTTTTTCATTTGAAAACAGTTTACAGCTTTTTAAAGCTCAAAAGCCGCGTTTTTTGCAATAATTGAGAATTTGCTGGTGTCCGAAGTTTGATGAATTTCGTGTTTGAGTGGAAACTACCGGTCAATTCATGAGCTTCGGCTTATGAACTGACCCATTATTGGAAGAGATATGGCAAAATGACTAATCTGCTATAATGCAAGTGCTTAAATAAGAAATGCCACCAGATGACGTCACAAGACGGTAAATTTTCTCACTTTCGAATCTATTTTTATACAATTTCCCATACCTGAGAAAAATTATTAAATTTTTAATAATTTATTTACTTGCCGCAGTATTTACTGCTCTTCGAACACTCTCAGATGAAGCAATTAAAGGATTTCGTGCAGATTCTCCTTTTACTTTAAAATCACCTACGTTTTCAAAGCAATTTCTTGTTTTTCCAACGGCCCGATTGAATATAATCGTCACAAAATATGTAAACGTGTATTTGATTTCACCCATTAATCCCCACGGTCATTACTACTGGAAGTTCGGCATCAGGGCCGTGGAGCGTAGTGAGGAGCAGATGAAAAATGGAAGATCTAACTCGGGCGACGGTTAATAGGTGATGCGCGATGGTTAAGTGGTAATGGTCGGGTTAATGGTCCTGATGAAGGAGATTCTACCGTGGCTGCGGTCCCCGTATCGTTTACCACTAGACGGTGCCGCACCGGCTAAATGTCGCTTCCGGGAGCTTCGGACCACAGTGCTAATGGGCGAGAAAAAATATTAAGACTCTACGAGCGGAAATTTCGGTCCCATGGAAAGGTCAGTTCGTTTCTTACACAGAAATTTGAGAATGAGCAATGCACAGGAGTAAGAGGTATGGGTTAGCTCCCACCTTGGACATTTTCAATTAACTGTGTTAGTACCCCAATCACTTGCCTTAGTGCTCCAATAAATTAGGTTACAGACATAGTGAATGATGAAAATCGAGTAGAAAGCCAAATTTTTTAGAGTATTCAACTACATGATGTTAACACAACAAGTAAAATATGAAAATACAACTCATAAAAAGTTATTTACAACGGCAGACGTTTCGACTAAGGTTTTCTTCATGGTGCAACAATAAAAATGGCCAAAAACCAATCAAGAATTAAAGACCCTAGTCCTTTGGGTCAAAGTCTGCCGTTGTTTTGTGGGCTGTATTTTCATCTGTTATGCTTGTTGTGTTAACATCTTGTAGTTGATTACTCTAAAATATTTGGCTTTCAGCTCGATTTTTATCATTCACTATGTGTTTCATAATTTATAGCTTAGCCAGCCTAAGGTTGTAAATAAGGTTACCAATCCATAAAAGTTGCGATACTACCCCAACTTGAGCGGCGGTATACCATTGGAAATGCCCATACTATTCAACAAGTTGGGGGTTTTTTGAGAACGATTTTGAGTGTCTCGATCTCTCTTTGTAGCCAAGATCTCGATTACTTTTTACCTCTATCGCGATCCATGGTCCACACAGTCGTTATTAACGCACAGTCACAAAGATGATAAGTCGCGGCAGAAGTAAACGCGGAACGCGTGATCCCACCATGGCCGTGATACAAGGGATATATTGAGACGCCATCTTGGGTTTCTCGGAGATGCGCGTTCAGAGAGGAGCTCAAAATTTGAAAATTTAAACTCCGTTTTTAGCGGGATAATATCGTTCTAAAAAACAGGGGGGATTCCTGCGAAACAAGAGCACCTTGCTTTTTTCAAACAAGTATAGCATTTAAAAAACATTAAAGAAACTTATAAGAGTCCATGCCAAATAAGTTTACGCACTTCTAGACTGCGACAAAGGATCATCTGACGTCACTTTCCCGTGTAACGTAAATGCAATAGACAAGATGTCGGATTTTCTATCTCACCCTAAAAGTGCGTATTACTTGTCGTGGAGTCTACCTAAAGTGGGCTGTATTGAAATCAATGGACAATTTAATTTCTGAATGTATTATTTTTCTCGTAAAAATGCCAACTTTTACTTTTTCTAAGGTTTAATCAGTGAGCTGATCGTTAGATTTTAATAGGAGATGGATGGATTTTAATATTTTGATACCCTGGAACCAGTCAGTTTGGGAATCCTCACTCGCGTGAATTTTGCCTACTTTCCTACCCTGTCGTTGAAGTCTCCGAGGTCGTCAACGACAGTCATTCAAAATATTTTTCTAAAGAGAAGGATTGAAAGTTCAAAACGTCCTAAACTCTGGCAGTAGCTCCTACACCTGCGGTCTTATTATTGAAATCGATAGAAAAAGTGATAGACAAAGAAATCAAAGAAAAAAGGAGCGATCCTTATGGTTGATGTGATGGTTGTTAAAGACAAAAAGAAAAAATTACTAACATACAATTATCATATGGTCTTCCATGGGTTGTCATCAATCAAGGAGTTAATTATTGACTTCTTTTGTCAATTGCAACCACCCTTTTCCACCGTAAGATCGCCTCATTATCTCAAGATCTTCTTTGTCTTGTGTTTTGTCTGGCAATTTCATTATCAGCCCACACTTCATATGAAGCTTTTTTTCTGAGTGTACGCGTACAGGGGCATGATCGGGGTCCAGATGACGTTTGGCAATGGGGCCATTGGTGGACTGCAATTGATTAGTCTATCACTGAAACCCTCTTTGTCCATTGCAACCATCCCTTTTCACCAAGAGAACCGTGTCTTTTTCTTTAAAATTTTCATTGTCTACCGCTTTGTCTATCAATTTCAATTTCCGCCAGCAGTTTATATGGCGGAGCTTTTTTAGGTCATTGGGGCCATCGGTAGATTGCAATTGATTAGTACCTCACTAATCTTCTTCGTCCATTGCAACCATAAGTTTTCACCGAGAAAACCGTGCCATTTTCTAAAGATTCTCTTTGTCTGTCACTTTGTCCATCTATTTCAATTTCAGCCTGCGGTTTATAAGGCGCAGCTTTTTTTATGGCAATGGGGCCTTTGGTAAATCTCGATTGATTAGTCTATCACTATCCTTTTTAGTTCATTGCAACCATCCGTTCTCATCAAAAGAATCATGCCATTTCCTCAAAATTGTCTTTGTCTACAGCTTTTCCTATCAATTTCAATTTCCGCCAGCAGTTTATTGGAGCTTTTTTTATGGCAATGGAGCCATTGGTAGAATGCAATTGAGCAGTCTACCGTCGCAACCACCCGTTTTCCCTAGAAAATCTTGTCATTTTCTCAACATTTTCTTTGTCTATCACTTTGTCTATCAATTTCAATTCCAGTTTACATGGCAGCGCTTTTTTCTGAGTGTACGCGTCCAGGCGCATGATCGGGGCCCCAGATGACGTTCGGCAATGGGGCCATCAGTGATTCCCATTTAATTAGTCTACCACTAGTCTATCACTGAAACCTTCTTAGTCCATTGCCTTATTCCGTTTTCATCGAAAGAATTGTGCCATTTCCCAAGATTTTCTTCATCTATACATTTGTCTGTAAATTTCAATTCCAGCCCGCAGTTTATATGGCGGAGCTTCTTTTCCAAGTAACCTTCTTAGTCCATTGCAACCATCCGTTTATACACCAAGAGTATCGTGACTTTTTCTCAATATTATCTTTGTCTATTACTTTGTCTTTTACTTTGTCTATCAATTTTAATTCCAGTTTACATGGCGGAGCTTTTTTTCCGAGTAAACGCGTCCAGGCGCAGGATCGGAGCCCGAATAACGTTTGGCAATGGGCCCATTGGTGGATTGCAATTGCCATAATGCCATCCATTGCAACCATCCGTTTTTACCATGAGAATTGGCATGATTGGTTAATGTCGTTTTCTCATGATATTTTTTGTCTATCACTTTGTCTATCGCTTTGTCTATCGATTTCAATATCAGCCCGCAGTTTATATGATGGAGCTTTTTTCTGAGTATACGCGTCCAGGCGTATGATCGGGGCCCGGATGACGTTTGGCAATGGGGCGGATGGCCATTTTTGTGGTGCCGCTTCGAGTTATCGAGGCACGTCAAGAATGCGCCCCTTTTGAGGAACTTGAACCCCGGCGGAGCCGAGTCGACTGAGGAAGTCGCTCCAAAATGAGACGACGCCGCCGCCGCCGTCTCAGTGTCACCGTCACCGTCACCGCACGGCCCGGCCGTCGCACACTGGATCGAATCAACCAGAGAGGTTGGACATAAAATTTTCGACTAAAACTGAGAATTTTCATGTTCATTTCGCCACAATTTAGATTTTAAGATGTGTTTCTGGAAGAAAATTTCACGAGAAAACCAATAAAACCATTTTTGAGACCTCAAATTTGGTCAAAAACGGAGTTATGAGCGTTTGAATTTTCCGAATTATGAGGTCGGACATGAAATTTTTAACTAAAACTTCAAATTTTGATGTTCATTTCGTCACAATTTAGATTTCAAGAGGTACTTCTGGAAGAAAATTTCACGAGAAAACCAATAGGACCATTTTCGAGACCTCAAATTTTGTTAAAAACGGAGTTATGAGCGTTTGAAGTTTCCAAATTATGAGGTCGGACATGAAATTTTTAACTAAAACTGCAAATTTTTATGTTTATTTTGTCACAATTTATATTTCAAGGGGTGTTCCTGGAAGAAAATTTCACGAGAAAACCAATGAGACCATTTTTCAGACCTCAAATTTTATTAAAAATGGAGTTATAAGCGTTTGAAGTTTCCGAATTATGATTCAATCAATCAGAGAGGTCGGACATGAAATTTTTAACTAAAAATGCAAATTTTATGTTTATTTTGTCACAAATTAGATTTCCAGATGTGTTTCTGGAAGAAAATTTCACAATAAAACCAATATAACCATTTTTAAGACCTCAAATTTTGTTATAAGCGTCTGAGGTTTCCGAATTATGATTCAGTCAATCAGAGAGGTCGGACATAAAATGTTTGACTAAAACTGAGAATTTTGATGTTTCTTACGCCACACTTCAGATTTCAAGAGGTGTTTCCGGAAGAAAATTTCACGAGAAAATCTATAGGACCATTTTTGAGATCTCAAATTTTGTTAAAAACGGAGTTATGAGCGGTTGAAGTTTCTAAATTATGTCCGACCTTTGCTTTTGATTCGATCCACTGTGCGGTGTCCCCGGCCGCCGCTCGCGCTGTGCGATAATCGACCCGCGCGGCGACGACATCGTGAGATCATCGATTCTTCTGTGACGCCATAGGTTAGGCTCGAAGCTCCTTCGTTTCCAAAGGCAACATATTTGTAGGTTCCTCCATCGGAGGGTGTGAATCGATCGAAAAATTAAAACGTGAATCAAGCGACGTGAATTAATCGACACCGATTCGATCGACAAATTTCAAAAAAACCGGTGTCGATTCGATCAACATGAATCGATCGAAAACCAAAAACATGAATCGATCGACACCGATTCGATCAATAATTAATTTAAAAAAAAAAAAAAAAAAAAAAAAAAAAAAAAAAAAAAAAAAATGTTTCGAATCGATCGACAAAAATGTGAGTCGATCGAATTTGGTCTATGGAATCACGTGAATCGGACCACGTTTTCGTTTTTCGATCGATTCATGTCGATCGAATTGACACGTGGGGTTATTTTAATTAATTGTCGATGGAATCGGTGTCGATCGAATCACGTTGATTGGTTTGCGTATACCCTCCTCTCCAGCCTTGATAGTGGGAAGAGCCGTAACCTCTTTTATATGATATCGCTGAAAAAGCTAAAACAGCACTATTCGTCTTATTTGTGTAAGACATGTGAGAAAGCCGCAATTGTGCAAAAATTGAAGTTTTTCCTGACAAAACAACGATAAAGATGAGAATCATTCCGCCAGATAGCCTAAAGGAGCATTACTTTAGAGATTTTAAAGGAGCCGAAAAGTATCGAAATAAGCTACTCTTTAAGTGAATCAATACTGCAATTTTTTTTTTTTTTTTTTCCTTTCAAAATGGTATTACACTTACAAATGTTTTTAATTTTTATTTTCAATATTTTGAATGTGTGTATCACATGTGCAATAATCGCAAGCACTTCCTCTCCACAAAGACTAGGACCAGACTGAGTTGATTAAGGCGTCTGGATACAACTATTCGTGTTCTACGGATGCGCGTGTTGCATATTCAAAATTTGAAGGCGCTTCCGCTTTTTCCACCTCTTCAGAGATTCACGGGAGTTGCCGTTGATTGTAGCACCCAACTGAAGAGTACTCATGTGAGGGAACATAAGGGGACAAATGGGACAAATATGGAAACTTAGTTTAGTTCCTAGGGTCGGATTCATGGTTGCACATTAAACAGCTACTTTCTTCAAGGAGGTCTGTCGGAAAATTGTCATTGTGATTGAGGGAGATTTAAGGGAGCATTTAATGCAAAAAACTTTCTCAGCAACACTCCAGTAAAATTCAGTCAGTTAATTTTGAAAGGGGTCCTCACAAGGGATTGTAATGATTTGACACGGGCAAAAGTACAAAATACCGAAAAAATAAATTAACGATTTTGAAAAACTTTAAAATAGAAAATGAGTTGACTCCAACTTCTACAGTCAACTGGAGCCAAAATTAATAACCCTTATGAAAAACACGTTTAGGTATTTTTCATGGTCATATAATTAAAAACGAGAAAAAATTTGGAGCTACAAA